TGAATGGGTGCTGGATGCTCCTTAATCAGGAGTGAGCTGAAGTCAAAAGATCAAAGTACCCTTTAATCAGGAATAGCTGACAGAAGTTGTTTGAAACTGCTAGAGTTTCCTAGAAGGATCATGGGAAAGAGCCGAGATTTATTTCGTACTGAATTCTAAGGGAAAAGGTGAACATATTTTCTGATGCAGCCAAAATTTCCATCAATGAGACTTTTTTCATAAAACCATATTTTAGACACTTGATACGCTTAGTACCCTGAGAAGTTCTGGAGCATAGGAGTTTTCCCGTCCTGGATTTTTCAGTTTATATGAGGCACATCCTACTGAATTACTCTAGGAAAAGATTGTGGTATGAAAACAATCCATCAGCTCATGCTGTCACTTTCTGTATTTCTGTAGTAATATTCTGAGTCCAGAAAGAAATTACTAGAAAACTAGTAACAATTCGTTTTCCTTATTATCCATGTGTCATTTTCAGAAGTACTTTTAAGTACTTAAAGTTGAATTTTCCAGGCGCTCTCTTGCACCTTGAAACCACGTTCTGTGTAATAATAAAAAGCAGTAATAAATCAGCTGTGGCTGGAAGTCAAGGTGCTGTTATGCTTTTATAGATTGAAGAGTTTCCAGAACCAATAATTACCCTAGCAACTTGTGAAACAAAAACAACAACAAGAAGAAAGACTCTCTCTTAGATGCTTTTCCTCTTTGATATATTTTTCTTTTTTTTCTTTAGGAGAAAGTTTTACACAATATGTTTGTCCTTGGTGCCAACTGCAATTAAACTCGATTTGATTTTTGGCAATCAAACCTTTTTCTTTTTTTTTTTTTTTTTTCCCCCCGAGTGTTATCTTTTTAGGCCAGACATTTCCCATAGCTAGTTAATACTGTTGTCCTGCTAGTTTTCTGTCTTATTCAGTGCTGGGAAATGTTCAAAGGCTGGTTCTTGGGTTTCTGGATTTTTTTTTTTTTAATTCTATTGGTTGCTGTAGGTTCTAGAGAGCATTTGTATATTTGTTTAATTGCAATGAATATTTTTCAAGGAGGAGTTCAGAGACAGCATTGCAACACTTCCTCTAGAAGTGAGACCTTTAGCAAGGTAGTGCTTGCGCACCTTGTGCTACAAGCCAGCCCTTAAGAAGGGCATGAGGGAATGTTACTTTCTTTGTTCCATCTTCTGTAGGTTGGCAAATTCTCTTTTCTCCTTCAGCCTCCCTTTTTGTGCCTACCTTATTCCCCTATCCTGGTTCAGAAACAAGGTTTTATGTGAAAGAAGTACAAAAAACATCTTCTAGTGTTCTGTGGAATCCCGTTGTTTCCAGACTCCTAAAAAAAAAAAAAATATATATTTGCCACTATCTCAAAATTGAGTGAAATACAACATTGTGTCCTGGCATTACTTTTGGCCTCTGTTAGCTGCAGATTATACGCCAGTATATGAACTGGAATTTGAAGCAGGAGTGTCTTACCTCTCAGGATTGCTTTACTTCTGTTGTCAAATTTGCTTTTAATAGAGGGTCATGCATCTGAACAGAAAACTGTTTCTCTCATGGTCTGCTGTCATCATTAATGTCATGTGTCTAGCTGTGGAAGTTCACAAAGTGAATTTAGGGATGGCCTCTTCAAAAATGAAAGTATATAGCAACTGTGCAAAGCACAAGAATCTTACGAAGTGCCTCAGTACACGAACCTAATTTTCGAATCTAAATGGAGTAGAAAATATAGCAGAAGCAGCCTAGGAACTGAATATTTTGTAGCTGTCTATATTGCTGTATAAATAGAAAGTAACTGAAAATCCTTGTGTTTCATGTTCATGATATAGCAGTTTAATTATCAAAGGAAATCCACCTTCTGTTATTTAGTCCACCTGAAAAAGTACTCTTTGATGGAACTCTTGCTGAATCCCTGTTGAAGGACTCAAAACGTGATTGGCAGTTAGTAATTTAAAAAAAAAAAAACTTAATGGTAAAAACTTCAGCATTAGCAGCGAATCCAGATATGCATTCTATATATTCTATGTTCTCTTTGTCAGGAACACACTGTTCTAGAACCTTTCATGCCATTCTCCCCCGTTGTTGCTTTTTAACAGCTATTATTGTAATAGCTAAGTTCAAAATCATACTGCTATTGCTTATTTTGCTTTTTTGAAGTGTCTGTGTCTTAGCTTTTGGGTTAGCTCACCAAGAGAGGGTGCTAAAGCACTACTTTGCAGGAAGGTTTAGGTGGTCAGGAAATTGGCTTGATGACATAGGTGCTTTTAGAGCAGCATTCTGTCCTCTCACAGTTATTGCTCTTCTGGACTTTTAAAGCTTATGTACTTGCTTGGCTCTCTGTACTGTGACCAGTCCCAGCTCCTGAGTTTCCAATTAAGTGGTGTGTGCTTATCTCTTTGTGGGATGATGAGCTAATGAGGCTCCTTTACTTTGTTAAAATTTTCAAAAGATAAGAGAACTGAGTTTGTTATGCTAAGTACAAAAACTCCCCTTGTTTTATCAAAAAGATTATCACTGCCTGCTTGTGGAAAAGTTACAGTAAGATCTTTAAGTGTCTGTAGAAGTTTTGTGTATGTAATAGATACTATATTATCTACGTAATAGATATACTATTATAGATATTTATATAATAGATACTGTATAAATTATAATTATATTATATTAATAGATATAATATGTTAAAGGCCATATTTTCTACTGAAGGCAAGAGACAAAGCTTCAAGATAGAAGTGATTATTGGGAGGGAACAGTACTATTGATGCAAAATTGCAGTTAATCTGTGTTTCTCCCCTTCCATTCTGCTTAATTTCATAGTAAAGATAAGGAGATCAACTTAGTCTGTCCTCTTTCAGCACTCCCGCAGCTAAGTCTCTTCTAGGTTCTGCTGCTTATTCCCAACCCCTGACAACAGCAGGTGGGATAGGGAAGAGACATGAAGGGTCAACGTGATATAAACCCATGGCTTTCAAATTTCAACACAAATAGAGTTTTCTGTCAAACCAGCCAGTCCTATCACTATCAAGCTTTTTAACTGAAAATAGTGTTCTGAAGGATTCCACAGAGCAGCTGCAGACAATTCTTGCAAAGCTACCAGTTTTTTGTGGGGCACAGCTTGGAGACCGCTGGTCTAGGTGTAGAACATGTGAATTGCAGGCTTGATTCTGCCAGTGACCGTAGGTCAGTTACACTTGTCTGTATAATTTTTCTGAATATGCAATAATGAATGCTAAATGTAGGAGGAAAATGCTGATTTTTTTTTTAATGCAGCTATGCTAACTGTTGTATGTAGAATTAAGCATGCAGCTTTTGTATTCATTTAGTCTTTTTTTCATTTTTTAGGCATTACCCAATTGGTTTGCTGTTTGATCTCCATGCATCAAATACAGCCCTTCCTTGGAGCATCACAGTGCATTTCAAGGTAAAATTGAAACATCCCTTTGGTTAAGAGTGATTGAGCATAGGATTATATGAAATTTGGAAGCTAGGGAAAAGTTTCATACCTATTCTTACCACATAAATAGGTGGATGGTACAACTTTCTGAAGATGAGTGTTTATTCTTCAGGAGTTGCCTTAGTTCTCTGTAAATCTATAGCAGTTTGCTGTGAGATAGTATTTAGTTTCAAATCACCTTTTGAAAGTAACTCTAAACTCAAAATTGTTTTTCAGCATAAGTTATGAGACTGTGTCAGTGCAGTTGAGGGGGTAAAAGCAAAGAACTTTCTGTAGTGTTTTTAATTCAGTCAACTTAAGGAAGATTCAGAAGTGTTCATCCCTTGGGCACATTAGCCTGGAAATGGGATATCACAGAAATCCTTGAAGTCACAGAATCCTGTTGTACTTTGAAGTTACATTTCATGTGGGTCCCCTTTAGAGAAGGAGTGAAATGGTTTTGGTCTTGTGACAGTTTAGTCACAGGGGACACAATACTTTCATTATGTATTGTAAAACCATTAGGTATAACATGATAGCACTACTGATCTTTGCTCAGAGAAGTATTTGCACAGGGTTAGCTCTGATGCATATCCTTTTATACTCTGAAATGAATGACGAAGGTAGTCCCAGGTATGTTTGGAAGTCAAAATCATAAGTACAATTCACGGTTTTTAACCATGAAACTTTAATTTCCTCCTTGGTACTGTAGAGGTCTAAAAGAAACAGCACAATTGGAAAACCGATCCAAAGAAAAACAATAGGTTAGTAGGCTGTCTTCAGTGTGTGAGATTTGAGATGAAAGGAAAAGCATACTGGGAAGCAGTTGTGTTGAATGTTCTCATTCAAACAATTCTCTCTTGAAGGTATTTTAGAAAAGAGCTTGCTAACAGGAGTAGTCTGACTCCTTTTGGCAGTGTGCGCTAAAATAGAATGTTTTTTAGAGTATGTTCCTCCACATGTTGAGACTTCCTAAAATCAATGAGTGAATACAGGGATGTCGTTGGAACCTTTATAATTGCTACACTTCTGTCTCGTATACATCAGAGATGGGATGAAGAAACTTTCATATTATTTTGAAGACAGTGTAGGGCATCTAGTTTCTTCGTCTGTGATTTAATTGTTGCACATTCTGAGAACTCTGGGGAAGAATGGCAGTGAGAACGTGTGGATGTTGTCATCCTAAGATAGAGCCATCTTGGGAAATAAGTTGCCGCACCACAGCACTTTTCAATTCGATGCAGTAATGTATGCTGACTTGAACATTCGTATATTGCTGCTTGTCAAGACATCGGCTAATTTAAGTTTGTCTCAAAGGTGTGCATTAAAGATCAGAAGAAATAATTTACTGCTTAAGCAGTGTTATTTTAAAGGTTGGTATAATTTAGCCCTCCAAAACTAACACCTTGGAAAAGTTAATCCAGTGTATTAGATTCTATTCTGCTTAATCTCTTTCTGGTTTTGATATAGTTTGAAAGTTTGTTTAAATAATGCCTCCTGCAGTTCTTAAAGTGAAAACACATCTGAAATCCCTCAAAGTATGTCGAAATGTTGGAGACAACATTCTAGTGTTGTAATTCTTTGTAGCTGGGTAGTTTAGATATAGGATTGCTGTCTAGGTTATTTTTTTATTTATTTATGTGTAATTATTCTTCAAAAAACAGTAATTCTTATTTAGTTTATTTGAACAATATTAGATTTTTCTGGGCTTTAACTTTTACTGTCAAAGCTTTTTCCTTTCTTTTATGAAAGTATGCAGTCAACAACAGATAGCTCAAGAACATCAGCGCAGACCATTATTTTAGTTTTTATTTCCTGTCAGTTTTCTTTGTCTAAAGGTAAAGACATGACAAACTTTTTATTCCTGTTCAGCACAGGTTTGGGTTGAAAAAAAAAATTGTAATTTTCTGCATGTTGGGTATGCAGATGAAATAATAACCACAGTGGTTTGCATTTAAGAAGCAATTTACTCATCCATACTTGTGGTATGCAATAAAGCAGCATTCATTGATAACGCTAATTGATAAAGTTAAAATACAGTTGCCTTAAATAGTTATAGAAGGATGAGCTTGAACAAAGTCCTGAGGTGTGAGAATCATGAGAAGCAGTAGTCTGGAAAGTTGCTTTTGTAACCCAAACGTAGGTTTATGAAGAAGAGGGAAACTTTATCCCTTCCCATTAAATTAGTCTCATGCTACCCTGCGGTGTGCTTAGTACTACTGATGTTCTCAGCATGCTAACCAACTCTCCAAATTCTGGGCAGCAGGTAGGAAGCGAGATGCTGCTCTGGGAATGCTAGGACTATGGAGGGAGAGTGAATCAGGAATGCATCATGAAGGGCTAAAGCTCTTCCTCTGCTGAAGTCCTTACCTGGCCTTCCACCTTCACACATCCCCGATGTAGCAGAGGAGAGGCTGTTATCTGCTTTTGTGTAACATCAGCTATCTTCTCTTCTTGGTTTTATTAACTTAGTACAAGCTCAGGTGGAGAGAAAAAGAAGTACTTTTCCATACAGCAGATGGATAAATTGTAGAACTCACTGGTAGGAGACATTGTGGAAGACAGAAGGATAAACAAGTCCGGCCCCCTCCCTCATCCCCCCCAGAAAAGACCACTGATGGTAACTAAACACAAATATGTGGATGCTCCCTCTGCCTTCAGAGCTCCCTAAGTAGTAAATTGCTGGATAGAGGAAAGGGGTTTTGTGAAAATGATATTTTTACTGCTGTTTGGCACATTCGGGCACACAGTACTGAACTTTGTGGTCTGATGTTTCTTACGGTATTGAACAGTTAAGAACAGTTGATCTTCCACAAACCGTTTAAGAGTTTGTTTTTAGTTGTGAAATACTTGGAAGATGCTGTAGAATACTTAGCCATGTGGGGGTTTTGTGCGTATGTGTGGGTTTTTTTGTTTTATGTTTTTATGTTTTTGCTTCCGTTCCTCTCCACCTGCCAAAACTGGAGTTTTATTATTTTCCTGTTTCTGTACACTGTCACTGGGAAAATGCATGATTCGGAACTTTGCCTTGAAAGGCTGATGAAAGAATAATTTATTTAAAAATCAATGCAAAATATTAATTAGAGAAATAAAAGTTTAACTGTGAAACTGAGTTAGGTTCTGCTAGAGGGCTTGTTTTTGCATGTTAACGGAAGCTTCAGATCTGGGTCCTCCTTTTGTCCTCAGCTATGGAATCTAAATTTCTTGCCTTATTTTAGCTGTGTAGAAGTTAGGCATTTACAATAATCAAGTATGCTCCTTTTGTAGTTAATTGGGGGGTTAGGAGGGAGGAAAGAGAACCTTCTGCCCAAAAATGGTGTCATGAATTACCCTTTAGACAAGCCTCTAATTCTTCCTTGATTAAACAGGTAGCTAAGATTCCACATGAAAACTTTTCATAATGCAAATTGGGAGGTAAATTGCTTTCTGTGTGTGTTGATAGTAAAAGCGCAAGTTCATAGAATAGTATTAGGTGGGAAGTGGTATTTCTTTCTGCTGACCTATGTCAATTATAGTGTAGTTTTGAATACCATATTATTGGTGTAATTCTCTATAGGTATAAGCTAGTACAATTAGACTGTCTTAGTATAAACAGGCATTTTGTAAAATAGAACCGATAGATGAATTCCAGTGGCATGGAGTTATAAGGTAATTTCAGTCTGGTTTCATGGTTTTGGAACAGATTTATATGAAAGGTCATTTAGTGCTCCCTCTGTACAGGTGATACCTACCTCTTTATGACCAAGTTTATATGCAAATGTCTGCTGTTCTGTGCAAAACAAAATCTACACTACTTCAACTCTCTTAAGAAAATCCCAGGCAGCCCATAATAACTCTTCTTTTCAACATGCAGAGCATGGAGGGTGAAATAATGAGTATATTTCAATTAAAACTGTTTATGAAATCTGTTCAAGCTTTCTGCAACTCTCATGCTTGTATAGCCAGAGGTGACTACGAGCTTGTTTACAATTGCCGCTTTCTTTAGGGAATATAATCACAGGTAGTTTATTTATGTTTCATCACTATTTCCTGAATAGGCAAGTCAATTTAAAAAAAAAAAAAAAGTATGTGTGTATATATATGTGTGTGTATGTATGTGTATATATGTGTGTGTATATATATATATATATAGGAGTGTTATATAGGAGTGTATGTGATTTATTTAAATGTAAATCCTATTCTTCTGCAATGTAATTTATAGCAGTGCAGAATGCCATAATTTTTCTTTGGTAGTTTCTTGCAGGTTAACTTGTTTCACATGCCTCTTGCAGACATAGCAGTGTTATCTTCTAAGGTATCACTTTTGTGCCTATGTTTTTCAGCTTCTGCTCACACTACTGAAAAGAAACAGGTCAGTGTTTTTCCTCTAAAGAAAAGAGTAGGCAGCATTAAGATCATAGAAATGTTTTCCAGTCCTCCACTGTGTCTCCCCTTAGAAGATGGGAAAATGAAACATCCCACACCTTAGTACTACTGTGGCTGGATTCCTTCTGCTGAAAGTTTAAATATCTTAATGTTATTCTACAGACCACACTGTGCAGGATCTCTCAAGCACATCCCCAAAGAGTGAAATTTCCTGTTACTTGAAAGCTCATAGGATGAAAACCAGCATACAGATGCTTACCTATAGAAAAGCACAACGTCCAAAAAAAGATACTGAAGTTCAACATGTAAATGTTCCTGTGACAAACAGTTCTGGAAATTCTCTCATTTTCTCAGACTTCACTTGATCTGCAACTTTGAACTGTGCAAGCCAGTTTCGAAGTTCCTCTGTTGCTTGGTGTTAGGTGGACTCCACTGTTTCATCTTTTCTGAGGGATGCCAAAGTCTCACTTTGAATTCTTGAATGTAAAGGACTTTTTTGATCTTGAACTATGTTATTTCTGACTGTTCTCTTCTTCTAGATTGGTTACTAGACTTACTTATTTGTTCACATAAAAAAAAGATAAACTTCTGAAAGTGTCTTACCGGATTATACAGATGTCATTTGGCAACCAGCAGCCTCACTAATGTGTTCTATGCGTCTTAGAAGCAGTTATGCTGCACACTCAGCTTCGCAGGGGAGAGATAACAAGCAAGCTCTGCTCTGGTCACAGAACTTTTGTGTTCTTTCCTCTTTAATGTCCTCATACTTGGCTGTCTTCATATGAGAAGCAGGCTGTATCTCTGTCCTCAGATTTCTAGTCAGCTATATATCCTTCAATCCGAAGTAGCTGTAGCACTTCCTTTTTTTTAGGTCAGACACCAAACTCTAAATCTCCTTCCAGAAAGAAAGCATCAGCAGTTTTCTCCTCTTCCCTTTATATTGCTGTCTTTGGAAGATGCTCTTGATATTGATCCACAGTTTCCAGAGTCTGAGTTCACTGTCGTGAGGAGGAATCACTTTATGGAATTCCATTATTTAATTTCCAGCTCTCTTTGACAAACTAATGAAGAGCCTTTTCTTCTTGCCCTTCACAATTTCCTTCAGGCAAGGCTGCCCCCCAAATCCTTTCCATATTGTCAACTGTTAGTGTTTTGTGGCTATTTTGAGTTGCTTTACTTTGAAGCAGTTTTCACTATTTCTCCAGGTTTGCGAGGAGGAGGGAAGCCATAGCTTTCTCCAGAATTCTGATGATCCTACTAGGATATGATCTGTTAACTGTTGTAAAAGCCTTTGAAAAATTCCCAATTATATATTTTGTTTGATGTACTTATGTTTCCAAGACTGTTTTGACAGTCCCTACAAAAACTTGTTAAAAAGCTGATCTCTAATGCGTTTAGAGGAAAGGTCTGTATGTGGAATAACAGATGAGAAATAAAGTATGAAAATAAGTGATCAGCCCTTGTTATAGAGGGGAGCACTAATGATGCCACTCTGGGTTGGGTTTGGAGGTGGTTTGTTTTCAGCATAGTCATAAGCAGCTGTGAAGACAGCATGAATAAGGAGGGGATAAAATCACAGAATCACAGAATGATTGAGGTTAGAAGGGACCTCTGGAGATCATCTAGTCCAACCCCTCTGCTCAAGCAGGGTCATCTAGAGCGCGTTGCCCAGGAATGTGGCCAGATGGCTTTTGAACATCTCCAGGGAAGGAGACTCCACTACCTCTCTGGGCAACTTGTTCCAGTGCTCAATCACCCTCACAGGAAAAAAAGTTTCTCTTCATGTTCAGACAGAGCTTCCTGTGTTTCCGTTTGTGCCCATTGTCTCTCATCCTGTCACTGAGCACTGTGGAGAAGTCTGTGGTTTTGCTTTTTTTTTTTTTTTTTTTTTGGTTAAGACTGAAAGCTAAGCTCAATAATTTTATGAAACTGAATGTTTTTATTGTAAAATGGCAAATGATACTCAGGGTTGATTTTAAAAAAAAAAAAATTGGGGAAGAATAAACCTGACAGTAAATCTATACAGTGATGAGCTTTTATTATGTAGTTTCCAGCGAGATCTTTTTTTTTTGTACACGAGCAAGGTTTAGTACTGTGGTTCCTTAATAAATGATTTAGCACAGATAGTTACCATTTACTGAGGTAACTTTTATTCCTCAAGAGTTGTGAATATGTATCTGTAATGTTTCAAGTGCAGTGCGCCAATTCTAACGAGATAAAATGGATGAGGAATCAGGTCACACCATCTGGCCATAGGACATGTTAGGTTTAAAAAAAAAAAAAAGTTGATGAGAATTTCCAGTATCTTTGAAGAAAGATGTTTGCAAATGGCATATATGCTATATTTTATGGTATATCTGGAAGGTGATATTTGGAAGAAACATTTTTCAAAGGCATGTATAGAAATGGATACTGAATTTCCATTGCAGGTCAATTATGCATCCTTTTACCTCACCTCAGTAAACACGTTGAAAGATGTCAAATGATTTAGAGTGATTTCATATTTTAGAAAATGTTATCCAATGTTTATCTTTCTCTGAAACATTTTTCACTGCAAAACAAAAACAATTTTTCAGCAGAGAGGGTGGAGGGTGATATCTTCTTTCATGAGTTGAAGAGTCCAGTGTGCTTCTGTTGTATAACTATAGATTAAAATTATCTATTCTTGATGTTCGAAGGAGTGTGGTGCATTTATTTCCCTTGGTGTATGTTTCTTTTCTTTGTAGAATTTTCCAGAAAAGGATCTTCTACACTGCCATTCTAAGGATGTGATTGAAGCTCACTTTATGGCTTGCATAAAAGAAGCAGATGCTTTAAAGCACAAAAGTCAAGTCATCAATGAGATGCAAAAAAAGGATCATAAGCAGCTGTGGATGGGGTTACAGAATGGTAAATACAGTGCATCAAATATGAATTACACTTAGATGTTGCATGCTAATAACTAATTTCTTCAAATTTCAGTTGTGGTACAGGATGTGAAATACCATTTTTCTGCAGAGTTTTAGCTCAACGTAGCGGAAGAGATATGTTTGAAAAATCTGAATTGTATTTATTATGCAATAATTCGATTGTAGCTTGAGGTATTTGAGGAACTGAATTGGGTTGTGATTCTGTTTAAAAAAACAAAACAAAACCAAAACAAACAACAAAACAAAAAGACTAAATACTGTCTAGTATGCTTTTGTGCACCTGATAGTTGCTATTTTGGAGACGGCTGGGGGCGAGTATGAGTGGTATTGAATATGAACCATCTTGGAACGTAAAAGAAGAAAAGTTGGCTCCTCTAGTTTTTGCTTTAAGGATCGTCTCTGATAGACAACGTAAATAACTTTATTGAAAGTTATTCAAGGTAGATTAATGATCTTACTTCCCTCACCCAAATTTAGAACTTTATTACTGCTATTACCATGGCTTTTGCAAAGATTTCTGCATAAATAAAATATCAGCTGAAAAGGTATTTCTATAATAGCTGCCGACAGCAAAATATTTCAGAACAGCATGTTATAATTAATTTCCTTTCTTTGCACAGATGGCATGAATCTATATTGCAGTATGAAATATAACATTTTTGGGTTTAGTGTCTCTTCTTTCTTATCATGGTTCTTGCAGCAGGCCTTTGGAAGTGTTGGCCTGTAAGGTGAAGAGCTTTGCACCTGCACTTTGTAGATATTTCAGAAACTGCTGGTTGGAAAAGGCTGTAGCACCATTCTAAAATGTGTTTTTCCTGTTTTCCTTAGTTTGTCGTTATATTACTGGAAGATTTATTTTATGGCTGCTATAAGCATGAAAATGCTTAAGTATGCTGAGAGATGAAATCCTAAATACTTAAAATGTGTCTCTGCACATGTGTTCATAAGAAAAAAAATGAACTAAGTACAGGAGAAGCTGCAAAGGAAAGAAGACATGTCATACATTTGTTTGCTTTAGACCATTAGAAAGGTGCCAAATCAGTTTGAGGCTAATGCCTTTTTTTAGTGAACATATAGTTTTTTTTATTGCTTAATGATGATGCCTTCCATATTAAAGATACTCTTGCAATAATTTTGAAGGTGCTGAGTGCTCATGAGGTGGCTTAACCTCTATTTACTTTGACAGGTTTCTAGCTCTCCTGCAATTAAATCAGTCTTAGAAAGAAATTGGAGGATTATCTTAGTTTAATATTTGAGTGGTGAGATCTTGAAGGTTGCAGCTAATACATGCAGACTTTATCTGGTAGGAAATAGCTCCTTATCTGATTTACTACAAAATATATATTTTAACTGCTAGAGAGATTCTATTTTGTATAGATACTAGTCAGCAAACTGATAATCTGTTCACTTTTGTGAATTATGAGTAAATAAAGATTCTGGCCCACTGGAAGCCAGAATCCTTATGGAAATTGATGTTTTCGTAAAACTTACGCTGTTACAAGTCAATTGGAACTGCATGTTTAATAATTTTGTGAGAAGACCTTTCTGTTGCAATAGTAGTTGTGTTAAGGACAGTTTAATTCAAGAGGAGTAAAATGCTCTGCCAACATAATTTTGTTTTCTGTTTTGAGAGTGATTAGCTGTGTTGGGAAATGAAAAGCTGTCACCTAATGCCAGTACTCACATGTCCCAGCAGTGCATTTTATGTGCTCTTCTTATTAATGTTTTGTAAAGTTCATACTAAAAGACCTCTAACATGAGAACTATATTTATGGCAGAACAGTTGACTACACAAAGAAAGCTGTGTGAGTGAAGGTAATCTACTGAACCAGAAAACATAGACTAGACTCTCTTAAGGAGAACAGCCGTGTGAGGTAGGAAAGCAGGTGTGGTCTGTTCTTTCTGTTCTCATCTGTACAGTTGGTCATTTATCTATGAGTATCTTCAGTTGCAGGCAAAACAGAATCACACTGTTTTGCTTTATGATGTTAAGGTCAGAGGTTGCTTAGCAAGGTTGCTTTCTAAAAGATTTCACTGTATTTAATGAGAGATGGCACCTGTGGAATCTGACACCTAAATGAGAAGTTAAAACCATCTTTTTGAATACTTTCAAATGCTAATTTTAATTTCTCAGCTCTTCATAAAAGAGAAACAAGAAAAGCTTGTGAAACCAAGAAAACACTTTTAAAGCATGTTGTATCTTTCAGTGTGTTTTTATAGGCTTTCGTTTGAGATGTAATAATTTTAAATCTCTTTGTGAAACGATGAATGACCACAAAAAAAGAAAAGAAAGTAGCATTTGTGATAACTGTCTTGTAAGTAATGATACATCTGCAGGCTTTTTTTTCTTTGAAACTTCAAGCGATTTTCTTCAGTTCTTAAATTAAAAAAATTTTGCTCTATTTAGTGATTGAGAGCAATGCTTACTGGGTATGCTACTATGGTATTAAACTTATATTTCTGAAAAAAAATCCAATTTTCCTTTTAGGAGAAATTTAACTACCAACTACAAATACAATTTGGGATAAATGTTTCTACTGAGCAGGAAGTGCTTGGACAAGGAGCATGAGAAACTTTCCAGTTGCTCTGTAGCTCTGATCCTTTTTATGGGACAAGCTGTAGCAGTGAATTTGTGGCAAAACCTTGTGCTGGGAACAGCTGATTGGTATTCACAACAGCCTTTACATCCCTCCTCCCACCATATTTGGTTTTGTGTTAACAGGCCACCAAATCAGGGAGGAAGACATACTTTTCTATTGCTTGTGCTGTGATTTCTTTTTATTTATTTATTGCTTATTCTTCAGGCTTCAGTTAGCCAATTTTTAGTCCCTAACGTTGATAGCTCTTAACTAGAGCGCTCCTTTTGGACAGGTGCTTCTGTACCACCCTAGTTTTCACCAGCATTGTGGGTCTTTGAATGTGGTAGGGAAGAGAAGCTTTGTGCGAACACCCAAGGTAGGCTAGGTAGCTATACTGGCCTTCAGTCCTTTGTAACAATTATTAAAGTCCTTTCATCAGAATTGATGGGAAATCTTACTGTTGTTCTTGCTATAGTAATGTTATGGCTGTTTTTATTACAGATAAAGAGAATTTTCAAGTGTGTAGTGTTTTCCTGGTCTCTTGCGTGGAAAGAAATACGGGCTTTTGGGTCTGACGCACTAAGGCTGTAGGTGTAGTGATTTCTTAGGATCAAATCAATGAAAGCTCAACAGTTTTTTAAAAAGGGGAGGGTGTGTTTTTTGCATAGTTGAAAAAATTAATAATTATAACTTCAGTGAACAATAGTTGTGATAAAGGAAGATTTTTAGATTCAACACAGCTGCTTTTCGTCAGATGTGGGGAGACATAAGCAGTCATACCCGGACATTTTCACAGGCGTCCTCTATAATTGGTAAAGACCAGACATGTTAGTTCTGATACCTGAATGTAGAAATAAACAGTAAGAATTCATGACCATTTTTAAGGCTCTTAATATATTATAAAATATAATGAAGGCATTATTTTATTGTTACATATATATAGTTATGTATATGTATTATGTAAGAAGAATGTAATGCTTATTCATACTGTGGAGTTCACAAAAAGTTAAATGGTCCTATTGAATTGTCCTTATTAAAGAAAAATTCCCACAAACATTCATAATATGCAATACTTAATCTTTTAATTCATATGATTTTCTTTTCATCTTAATGTCGGAATCAGTCCTAGAGTTCACGAAGAAATTCAAGAAAATATATCTGAAACAATCTTGGGGTTTTGAGGGCGTATTTTTTCTGGGTTATGATATTCCTATTTGTTATTCTTTGGAAGCTTAAAAATTTCTAGAGACATACATTAGCAGAATATTTTATTTATTGTGTATGCATAGCCTAGTCAGGTTTGATATATACATATGTTTCTCCTATTTGTAGAGAGCTGGTAGCAGCAGTAGTTTTATTCTGTTTAGCTTGGTCCAAGATGATGAGCATGCTTTGGTAACTGTGAACAAATCTCTGTAATCTCAAATGGAGTTTTGTCACCTAAATGTCATTTGAAGTTTGAATTAGGTATTATGTGCTTAGAAAATTATTATTTAATAAGAGGATGAACAAGCTATTACTTTTTAAATCACAAAGCCATCCTTTTTTTTTTTTTCCTTCCTTATGTCTCTTCCAAAATGGTAGTATCTTTACTTGTTCTGTTTGTAGTGATTTCATTAACTAGAACAATTCCTTTGAGCTTTGAAAATGAGCATATTGGTTAAAGAGGAATTTTAAAAACTTGTTGTTGTTTTCCTGGTTTGTGGTTAAAAATTTCTGTAATTATTGTCAATGCCTACTCCCTCTGGAGTTAAGAGAGGGTGGCATACGCCACGTGTTAGGGTTGCTGATATTGTGAACACTGGTGAATGTGGTATAGACAAGTTAAAATGGCCCAGCACAAATACCACCCAGATCTGATTTGATGCTGAGCTGGGCCTAACAAATCTGACTAGATTCAGACAGGCTGGATCTGCAGAATGAATCAGATGTATCAGAATAGGCCTTCACAGGCTTACGTGTGCATGTTTTGTTTTTTGTCATCACTATCATAACTTCTTTTTGGGGATCACTGTTTATTTGGCACCAGTGAACTCTGAAATTATTTGTAAAGCAGTGCTGTGTTTTGTGAAAAGTCTTAAATAGTTTGCATCTATGCTATGTTTCTCATTTCATTTGTTGTTGTTAGGAGTTGAGGTCTTTTTCAGGGCATGGAGCTCCAAAACTTTTAGGGAAAAGATTCTTGCAGTATGTTTTAAAAACTGGATGATCTGAGTAAGAAATAAAATGAGAAGAATTATATCAAAAAAGCTAATTCAAGCTAAGTCCTTGGTAGATAGTTATGAAAATAGTGGTAGTAGGTATTTTCTATTGTAACTAAATACCTATGTTTTCATCATTTGAATGAAAATGTAACAAAACGTGATTAATAGCAAATGATAATGCTGATTCCTTATCTCTG